TGAGTAGCTGGGATTACAGGCACGCACCACCATGCCCAGCTAATTTTTTGTATTTTTAGTAGAGACGGGGTTTCACCATGTTGACCAGGATGGTCTCGATCTCTTGACCTCGTGATCCGCCCACCTCGGCCTCCCAAAGTGCTGGGATTACAGGCTTGAGCCACCGCGCCCGGACGAAGAGTGAGCTTTCTACTGCTCAGATGCAGTCATGTCATTATCCTGCTCCCTCACCTTCCATGGCTGCTTACTGCCTTCCAGATAAAGCTTAAATTCTTAAACTTGACCAACCAAGCCCTGCATGGTGAGGCCCCTGTGTCTGTCCCATCCTTGATAGAGACTTTTTCTGCACTCACCGCCCTCCCTGCCCCCGCACATGCACTGCCCATGCTTGGCCATGGTCAGTTCCTCCAAAGACTGGTGGTGTTTGTCTGGGCTCTGCTGGAATCTCTGCTTCTTCTCCTTTTTTCCTGGCTATTCTTGCATATTCTCCAGGACTCCCTCTGGATGTTGATTCCTCAAGGACACCGCTGAGTTGGCTTCAAGGGCCTTCTCAGCTCCTCCAGCACCCTTGGCTTTTCTCTCAATACTCAGTTCTCTGTCTTATTACCTGTCTGCTTTTTCTGCAAGGTGACAGGGAGCCCCTAAAATATCTATGGAATTAATGAAAAGGGGCAGTTCTAAGAGAAAACGGGTCACTGTACATTGGCCAGATGTTCCAACAGGTATCTATTATATGTCACTAGGGTAGGGATTGTCAATAACCATGATTTACAGATGAGGAAACTCAGCCTAAGAGTCCCTCTGCCTGTCATTCAAATTCCTGGGCCCCAGTGGGTGAGCATCATGCTGGGCTTTTCACAGTATTTGTAGACACAGTCCTTTCCCTTCTGCCCCCACTTCAGGAGTCAGTGTCCTTGTGAGAATTTATGGCGCTGTGGATCTTCTCAACCTAGGGCAGGCACAAGTGAGATGCCTGGCCAGTGCCTGCTGGATGGGGAGGCTGGAAATGGTCTGCTGTAGTTGAGACCTCTGTGGCCAAGTTTTACTCTAAGGGTTAGGGAGGGCCCTTAGGGATTACCCCAGAGAAGTCTGAGAGGTTTTCCCTGGGGTCCTGGTCTTCTTCCCAGACCTGTCAGCAAGCAGTTCATCCCCAGCTGCCAATCTCCTTTTGGCCCTCACCCTTCCAGAGGAGCTGGAAGGTGAGATAGAGGGATTCTGTAGGGCAGTGATGTTCAGAGGTGAGCTTTGGAAGAAACAGTTTTCTCAACCCTACTTTCACACCTTAGCACCTTTATTTTATTGTCGTTTCCCCGAGGCCAGGATCTCATCTTTTGTTTCCCCAGCACACAGCACAGTGCCTGGAATGCAGGAAATGGTTGCTGAATGAAGCCATGAATTACATTTCAGTACTCATCAAGTACTCAGCCTATAACTAAGGCTAAGTTAGGCTGCTATCACTGAGACCTTTACCTTAAAGGATCTTCGCAGCCAGTGCTGTGCATTGGAAGTTGCAGATGGGGAAACTGAGGCTCAGGGCGGTTAAGTGACTTGTTCAAGGCCATATGGTGGCAGCTCTCAGGCCCTCAGGATGGTTAGAGGCAAAGTAAAGGACTGGGAGGAGCATTGATGAATTTGGGGCAATTGACAGAGGAGTAATTGTCAGTCAAAATGATTGGCTCAAATTATTAGGTGTGAAGAAGGAATCTGTCAGAGCTTCCCTGTTGAGTCGAATTGCCCAGATGGGATTACCAGGGTAAGTGACCCTAGCAGAACAAAGGACTGGCCGTTGTAGGGAAGGCCCCTGGGGTGTAGACCCGACTTTTCTCTGGTTGTCTCTGGTTGGTCCCAGCACATAGACACCTGCCAACCTGACATTGCACCTGGAAATCTTCAGGGTACTTCAGACTCTTCAACAGAAGGAGTCTCCCTGAGGTGACAGCTCTCTCATCATTCCCGTTCCAGGGGGCGCTTTCAGTCTAATAAAGCCCACTTGCTGTCTTGGCAGGGTCTGCATCTGGCACTTGCAGACATATGCTAACGGCCTGTTGACTTGGGAGCCTCCATCACTGGACTGTGGGCCTTGGAAAGCAAAAGGGTAAGAGCATCTTGAGCTCCATGCCTGCTGGGCCAGTCGCTGGGTAAAGGCAGGGGAAGGAAGGAATTTAGTTAGCCAGCATTGATGTCACACAGGGCAACGCCAAAAATGGCCTTTCTCCTAGGTGGGCTCAAAGGTAACAGAAGGCAGTGAGTAAACAGTCCATTGGGGCAATAACCACGCACATTTACTAAGCCATGGGAAGAATGGTAGTCACGTGGCCCTCGAGGGCGGCGCCCTCAGCTTGAGATGGAATTAACTCCAAATCTAATCACAGAAGGCTTTCTGGAGGAGGCGGAATTTTTACGGCCGTTGAATCTGGCTTTCTCTGAACAGCGAAAATGCGCTTTGCGCCCTAGGGAACCAGGTAACTCCTGAGGTGAGCTTCTTGGTGGGGATCAAACCCAGGGGCGACGGGGTCCGGGCTAGGGGAAAGACCTGGGGGGCTGGAGTCCCAGGTTCGGGCCCAGCTTGGGTTCCCCGACCTGCCCTTCCGCTGTCTTGGGGGATTGGACGCCACGCGGCAGTGTTAGGTCGGTGCTGCGGAACCTATGCAGGATACAGGCCGTGAGGTCCCTGGCGCCCGCGGGCAGGGCACCACAGGCCGAGGGCTGCGCCAGCCGGCTTGTCCCGGCCAGCCGGGCGGTCCCGCGTCCCGGCGCAGTTCCGCTGGGGTCCAGATGCCCGGCCCTCAAGGGCGAGGCGCGCGCTCCCCGGGGAACCGGGCTGCGGAGCAGGCGGCCCGCGTTGGGCGGCGGTGGCACGAGAGGGCCATCTGCCTGGGTGCCGAGAACTGCAGCGTACGCGGTGCGAGGCACGGCCCGTCCCGGCCCCTAGCCGGACGGGCACGCACCTACCCACGCCCGCCGGCGCCCGCTGCCCGAGCCCTAGTGCCAGGCCCCGACCCTGACTAGGCGCGGGAGGAGGTGCAGGGACTACAGGACCCCTCCCCCGGCGTTCCCCTCGCCCCGCCCGAGGCTGCGAGGACCCTTGGGCCCGGGGGTGGTGAGGGAGCTTCGTCCCGGCTGGGCCCGGGCTGGGGACTCGGCCTCCCCGGGCGGGGGCCGCACGGCTGCAGGCCGAGGTGCGGGCGCGCTGTCAGGCTGCAGCCCGGCTCGGTGCTGGGGGTGGGCTCAGCGCTGGGGTCGCCTGGCCTCGTTCTCCCGCGGAGGCCACGCTGGGCGAGCAGTGCCCGGGCGGGTAACCCGACCCGGCTCCCCGGAGCCGCTCACCCCGCACGGCCGGGCAGGGGGAGGGAGAGGGATGGGGGGGAGGGGGAAGGGAAGGGGTGGTGGGTGAGGGGCTGTGGGCACCACAGGGCCGAGTCCCTGGCCCGTCTGCGCTGCTGTAGGGCGGCTGCCTGCGGCGCCCGGGAAGATCCAGACTCTGCCTTGCGGGCGTCGAGCCTGAGGCAGGAGGGAGCTCTGGGGCTGCACAGGCTTGGCTCGGGGAGGCAGACCCGAGCTGCTGCCTCCATTTTGTTTCCTGCTCAGCTTGGTCTGTGGTGGTGGTGGTGGTGGTGGTGTGGGTTTGGGGTGCGGCCGGGTAGGGGGGTTCACCTGCGGCCGCGTCCTCTCGGGGCCTGAGGCCTCGAAGACCCCAGCCCAAGCCCCCAGGTGAGCCCTGCGGCAGGAGGGGGGTTGCCTTGGCCTCGGGCCGAACCCAGCTGGCTGAGGGCAGGTGCCCAGTGGATGGGGAGCCTGGGCTGTAACCTAAGATGGAGGCCGGGACTGACGCGGGCCCGAGCGGGGCTGGCGGGGAGATCGGACAGGCCTCAGCCGGGCCAGGTGCCGCCTGGGTTGGGGTTCGAGACGCGTAGGGTGCAGTAGCCGTGTGCGGCCCGAGGCCGGCGCCGTGCCCCGAGGTAGGTGAGGGGATCGGTATGCCACCCACGACGCCCGCAGGCCCCGACACTCCAAGGAGGCGCGCGAGGCCCCTGGGGAGCCCGCCTCAGGCCCCGCCCGGGCAGCCGGGCCGGCCCGTAGGCCCGGGGCGCGAGCGGGCACGCAGGGGGAGGGGAGGGGGCGGCAGCGGCAGCTCTGCTGATTGGGCGGCGCGTTCGCAAGCCCGACTTCACCCGCCCTGAACCCCGAAGAGTGAGTCGAGGGAGCGCGCGCGCTCGGTGGGGGAAGGGGTGCGCGCGCACTCAGGGCCCAGCCGCACGCGGGCCGGCGCGAGGCGCTCGGTCGCACGCGCCGCCGCGGGGGCGCGCGCGGTGGGGGTGTGAGGAGGAGGAGGAGGCGGCGGCGGAATAGGCCGGGGCAGGTCGCGCTCGCTGCCTTCTCCCCTGAAGAGAGACGCGGGGGGAGGGGGGTGCGGCGAGCGGCCCCGCTGTCTCCCCACCGCTCCGCTCGCACCCCAGTGTAATGAGGGTCACCCCCTCCCCCCAGCTGGCCCGGGAGGGGGCGCGGGGCACGGTAACTAGTACGCTGGGGTGGGCGGCGGGCAGGCGCGAGGAAGAGGGAGGGAGGAGGCTGCCGGACGGGGAAGATGGTGGTGGCCGTGAGGTGAGGGGCTCCGGGGAGGGCCGGGCGCGGTGCGGGGTTAGTGGCCGGCGGCGCTGCAGCCGCGGGCCCCCTCCCCCTCCTCCATCACTACCAGCCCGGCTTAGGCCTAGCTGGCCGGGCTGCCGCGAACTTCCTCCCGGCACGGCCCTTGCCCCGCCGGCCGCCCGCGAGCACCTCGGCCTCCGCCTCCCCTCAGGTAGCAGGCTGCGGGGTGCAGGGCCGGCTGCCCTCCCGCAGCAAACTTTGCTTCCTGCTGAATATTGATGAGTGCGATCGGCTCGGCCGGGAGGTGCTGCGGCGGCTGCGGGAAGGAGCGCGGCCCGGGCAGGCGGCGGCGGCGTCGGCAGCAGCCATGTTTGTCAAGCTGTAGCAGCTGCTGCTGCCCTGACTGGGCTTCGCCGACCGCCTCGGTATCTCCCCCTGCTGCGTCCCGGCCCGTGGGCCCTGCAGCTGCGGACCCAGCAGGCCAGCATTCAGGAAGGCGAGCTCTGGGGTGCAACCGCCTCGGCCGGCTCGCCAGCGGCCTGTGGACCGCCGCTGCAAAGGCTCCGGCTCCGGCGCTGGCTGGGCGCAGGGTGCAGCGCTATTGTGACCGCTGCGCCCGAGCGAGCCAGGAAGGGGGGAAGTACCTTTTTGTGCAGGGTCCAGGAGCCCCCCCTCGGATCCCGCAGCCTTTTGCCTTTGAGAGATCCAGCTGATCAACCCCTCGTGGGGGTCGGGGGGAAGACGATTCCTGTTTGAGATTTGGGAATTTTGACTGCCAGAGGGGTTTTAATTTTGGTTCAGCCCAAGTGTCCACCAGTCTGCAGAGGAGGAAAAAGCGACGGGCTGTTTCTATGTGGCAGGATCGGCCCAGCTTCAGGAAAATGGAGTTTTCAGAGGCTTACTGAGGCCAGTTTTTCATCTCCAGTCGGGGGAACTTTTTCTGCCCGTAGAAGTGCAGCAGAAAGGAATAGAGGCCACTAGGCCTTGAAGTGGCTGCCATTTTGAAGAGTCGAGTCAGATGGCCTATTAACTCAGATTAATTGCTGTGCTTTTTGGATTCCAGGTTGATGCCGGCCCAGGATGGATCAGACCTGTGAACTACCCAGAAGAAATTGCCTGCTGCCCTTTTCCAATCCAGTGATTTTAGATGCCCCTGAAGACAAGGACAGCCCTTTCGGTAATGGTCAATCCAATTTTTCTGAGCCACTTAATGGGTGTACTATGCAGTTATCGACTGTCAGTGGAACATCCCAAAATGCTTATGGACAAGATTCTCCATCTTGTTACATTCCACTGCGGAGACTACAGGATTTGGCCTCCATGATCAATGTAGAGTATTTAAATGGGTCTGCTGATGGATCAGAATCCTTTCAAGACCCTGAAAAAAGTGATTCAAGAGCTCAGACGCCAATTGTTTGCACTTCCTTGAGTCCTGGTGGTCCTACAGCACTTGCTATGAAACAGGAACCCTCTTGTAATAACTCCCCTGAACTCCAGGTAAAAGTAACAAAGACTATCAAGAATGGCTTTCTGCACTTTGAGAATTTTACTTGTCTGGACGATGCAGATGTAGATTCTGAAATGGACCCAGAACAGCCAGTCACAGAGGAGGAGAGTATAGAGGAGATCTTTGAGGAAACTCAGACCAATGCCACCTGCAATTATGAGACTAAATCAGAGAATGGTGTAAAAGTGGCCATGGGAAGTGAACAAGACAGCACACCAGAGAGTAGACACGGTGCAGTCAAATCGCCATTCTTGCCATTAGCTCCTCAGACTGAAACACAGAAAAATAAGCAAAGAAATGAAGTGGACGGCAGCAATGAAAAAGCAGCCCTTCTCCCAGCCCCCTTTTCACTAGGAGATACAAACGTTACGATAGAAGAGCAATTAAACTCAATAAATTTATCTTTTCAGGATGATCCAGACTCCTGTACCAGTACATTAGGAAACATGCTAGAATTACCTGGAACTTCATCATCATCTACTTCACAGGAATTACCATTTGTAAGCAGTTTTTGGTACAACTTAAATATATATTTATATGTATATGTACAGGCCACTTAAAGGGAAACTTGTAACAAATTTGTTTTTGGTTGCATATCAGTTCACAGCTGAAATATTGCTAATCATAAGCTTTTGGGCAAAATTTTGTTTTGATTTTTAAATTTATCTCTATTGTATGAGTTTGATTATTTTAAGCTTTTTCCAAATAACTCTCTGTTGAGGGCAGGCTAATGCTTTTAAGGGCATTCGATTGAGTTCAGATATAATTTCTCAGGATGGTGGTATACATATGATTAAGAAAAAAAACGATGGGTTTTGGCCTGCCAGTATCATGAATGCAGGTGAACCAATTTAGTACTTGGAATTCTATTGCTGTACATGGCAGATTAGTTTTTTACTTGATGACTTGACTCTTGCTTCAGGTTGAAGTACATTTTGAGCACAGATTAAAGTAGCTAAGATGAGGTTTTCTTAGACATTTGTCAAAATCTAAATTAGACTTTTTCTGAACTACCTGTTGTGAAGGTATAGCATCCTTTGCTTTTGATAACTGCCACCATTAGGCCTTTTTTGTTGTTGTTGAGATGGAGTCTTGCTCTGTCGCCCAGGCTGGAGTACAGTGGTTGTTCACTGCAACCTCCGCCTCCTGGGTTCAAGTGATTCTCCTGCCTCACCCTCTTGAGTAGCTGGTATTCACCATTCCCGGCTAATTTTTGTATCACCATTAGCTCTTGAGCTATTTCTAGTTTTATTTTTAATAGAACCCTAACTAAAAGTTTTAAATTTATTTATTGTTTAGAGAGTGGCTTCACCATGTTGTCCAGGCTGGCATTGAACTCCTGGGATCATTCAGTCCGCTTGCATCAGCTAGGACCACAGTAGTTTCAGATTTTGAAGTGTGTATGTGTGTGTGATACATATATATTTTGTGTGTATAGAAATGGAGAGTATCTTATTTGAGTTGCTGTTTTCAGTAATGCTGTCAAGTATTGCTAGAGGGTGGTAAATGAAAACGTTTGTTTTTATTTGAGCTTTGCAGAATTTCTTGACTTCTGGCTAAATGATCAGTTCACTTCTCTTAGCCTCATTTTATTGCCTCTCAATTCTGAAAGTACTTGATTGCTGTAAGATTCCTTCAGCTTTAAATATTAATATTTGATACTGATTTTGTTTCTGCCCCAACACATTGTTGTGGTCATCACTGGTAATATTACCAAAAAGAAATTTTTTTTGGCCAAAAAATGTCTCAGAGATACCATGTAAGTTTTTACAGGAAAAACTTCTATGGTATGTGATTATTTTGAGTTCGTTAAACATTCACTTTACCATATATCCCTGCTGTTCTTTAAAGTTACAGAGGGAGAATGTAGGTGTGTCAGTTTTGTTTCTGTTGATTCCTATCTTATCTTTTTTTTTTTTTTTTG